GTGCTATAAGCTTGCTGATTAAAAAAAAAAAACCTGTAAAGACTTAAATGAACTGATGCAAAGTGAAGTGAGCAGAACCAGGAGAACATTGCACATAATAACAGCAATATTGTTAGTGATCAACTGTGAATGACTCATCTATTCTCAGCAATATAATGATCCAAAACAATTCCAAAGGACTCATGAAAAATGCTATCCACCTCCAAAGAAAGAACTGGTAGAGTCAGAATGAAGATCGCAACATACTATTTTTCACTTTCTTTACTGTTTTCATATCTTTTTTTCCCCTTTTGGTCTGTTTCTTCTTTCACAGTGTGACTTATATGGAAATATGTCTACATGATTGCTCATATATAGCCTATACCAAATTGCTTACCATCTTAAGAAGGGCATAAGTGATGGAGGGAGGGAAAAAATTTGAAACTCAAATTTTTTTTTAAATAAACATCAAGGGCAGCTAAGTGGTGCAGTGGATAGAGCTCTGGTCTTGGAGTCAGGAGGACCTGAGTTCAAATCTGACCTCAGACACTTGACACTAGCTGTGTGACCCTGGGCAAGTCACTTAATCCCGATTGTCTCACCAAAAAAACAAAACAAAAAAAAAAACTTAGAAAAATTGTCTTTAAATGTAATTGGGAAAATAATTTTCTAATAAAATAAAACAAAAGTTGCTGTAAATCTAGAGTCTCCTCAAAAGAAGGATCAAGTAATTCAGTGACATCTGCAATCAGAGATTCAAATTTAAAAAATATATTTTCCACAGAGAATAAATTAATACCTAGAAGAAATGAGTCAAAAGTTTAAAAAATAAAATAAAAGCTCTAAAGAAAGAATAGTTTAGAAGAGAAAGTAGTAAACCTTACCCAAGAAGTATATTCACTAAAAAATCCAAAATGGTCCCATGCAAAAATCTATGACTCTATGAGCTGGAAAGAAATATTAGAACAAAATCAAGGGTTGCAAATCATGTGACTATGAAGAGGATTAGATATTTCGGCCCCCCCCCCAATCCTTAGGAACTCTCAAAAGACTCCATATAAAAAGTTATGTGCAAGAGATACAGTAATTAATTGCACCTGTCTCCCAAGCCAAGATACCAAGAACTTTAGGGTAATAACCTGATAAATTAACAACACATAATATTTCTGAATTATTTCTGTAAACCATTGTTTGTAGCTGAATTCATAGAGTCCTTGTGTATATCTTGGAAGGTAGGCTCATAATAATTTTATGTATTCTGTAGTAATTTAAAACGGAATCTGTCTACTCTTAATTGCTCATGGGTAGAACAAGCCACTAATATAAATGACAATAATGTCTAAATCAATTCAATGCCTCAGGTTCCCAGAGATCTTATACATTCTATAATAATTTTAAATTGAATTTCTCTGTCTCTTAAGTGCTCATGAGTAGGATGAGCTAATATAATAAAAGCAACAATAATATTTAAATTAATTTACTTATTCAATGACATAACAATCACACTATCAAGCAGCTCTCTTCTGCCCTCTGCTGGGGTATAGAACTGTGCCTCTGAATTAGCTTAGCCTAAAATTTAGCCTATTGGAGTGCTGTTAACAGATTTAAAAAGATGCAGATTAAGGATTCATTTATTTCCAAAGTTAAATCAATGACAGAATGAGCCGCGGGACCAGTGGAAAATGCAGAGGTAATGCAAAGAAGAAATTCTTTTGTCAAGCATTTATTCTTTAAGCGCAGACTTTTTTTTCGTCTTTGTATTCTGAGTCTGGCATTAGTGCCTTACAAAAAGTATTCTTTAAACAAAAGCCAATTAATTGATTATCTGTACCCTCTGTCACCCCCATCCTAGTCCCTTTCTACTAAATTCCCTTCACTGGCTATATATATAATAAGGTGCTAACAACTCACAACTTACCATGAGAAAAAAATCTCTCAACAAAATCAGTTGGATTTCTCATTTGCTATTCCAACATATATTTGAACCCCAAGTTCCTTTGGAGTCCAAAGTGTTCCACAATTGAATAGGTGATAGGAGCAGTAGCTATGTACTCTTAAGTACCTATGTATTTAATATTACAGATCCAGATGAAAGATAGAAAAAACAACAACAGATTTATCCATAGGTAAGAGTTCACTTTCTAGTAAAAACAGAGAAATGGCTTTGGAGAAATAAAGACATTCATGGTTATTTACAGAGAGATCATTGTACTTAAGGAAGCTGCATTTCTCCATTCCTCCCTCATAACCCTGAACTAACCTGTACCAGCCTGAAAAACAGATGGGGGAAAAAAAAGATTTTTTTCAGTGGAAATTAAGTGTAATAAATTATGCCTTCCAACATTCCACAGTGTGCATGTGCTAATACAAGCTAATGTTATGGTTGCATGAACTGGTTCAAGAGTCATTGAAACAGAGCAAATAAGTATAGCACAGTCTTATATAGATGTATGAGTGTATATGTCTATATATGAGTATGATTATAGTTATCAAAGTATACATATATGTGTATATATCTTTGTATATATGTATATGAATTCATGTATGTTTATATGTGCATGTGTATGCATATATGAATGTGTATGTATATATGTATGCGTGTATATATTGTATACATGTGTGTTTGTGTGTATCTATACAATATATCCATGATTAATTGTAGCCTTCTTGGGGAAAGAAAAAGGAAGGAGGAAAAAAGAACAAAGTAAAACATGCACGGCAAAGAACAAAAGAAAACTTACAAGGAAGCAAGGAAAAGATGCATAGCTCTAAATACATTGCATAGAACTTACTACATAGGCTTTTTTTTTTAAGGCAATTAGGGTTAAATGACTTGCCTAGGGTCACACAGCTAGTAAGTGTTACAGGCTTTCTTTTTTTTAATTTTTAGGCAATTGGGATTAAGTGACTTACCCAGGGTCACACAGCTAGTAAGTGTCAAGTGTTTGGTCTGAGGCCGAATTTGAACTCAGGTCCTCCTGACTTCAGGGTCATTGCTTTATCCACTGCGACACCTAGCTGCACCTATAGACTTTCTTGAAATGCAAATTTATTGCTGTATATTTTGAATCCTTATGTTCTGCTATGCACATGGCAATGCTTTTTTCTTATTTTGTATTTCTTTTAATATTTAAGCTGATATGTTTCTTTTTCTTTTCTGATTGTGTATTTAAGTTTAAAATAAATCAATAATAAGAGTCATAGAACTTAAACACTGGGAGGGACTTCAAAGGCCAGTTCCTTTAGTTTTTAAATAAAAAGATGAGACACATAGAGCATTGTATTCATTTATTTATAAAAGACTATATTTTAATAAGACTGTATATTTTTAAACATTTTAACAAGATTTGAAAAGCACTACCATAGGGATACTGGCTTAAAATATTTTATTGTTGTTTTTTAATTTTAAAAAGATTTTATCTTTAGATGAAGCTAAGAAACCCAATAAAGTCATTCGAGGCTTAAATCAGGGACCCAAAACACGGGAAATGCTGATTTGGTTTGAGGATTATTTTCATGTTCTGGTTTTGCTCCTATTTATAGAGTTGTTTGTTTTGTTTTTTTTTTAGCAAATTGAAAGGTATGTCTTCTATTGAAATAGATTGTCATTATATAATGCATTTATATAATGATTTAAGATTTAGGGAAAAAAAGCTTTATATACATTATCTCATCACATTAACCCTGTGAAGTAAACGTTTTGGGCATTATTATGCCCAGGATATTAAAGCGCTGTAGAGTCAAGCAACTTGTCCCTGGTCATGCAGTCTTTAAGCACGAGAGGCTGGGTTAGAATTCAGGTTGCTCCTCTGTGTGAAATGTAAAAAAAAGTTTGGTGTTCTGGAAATTGGTACACTTATAATAGTTTTTGTTTCACAGTTTTGTTCAGTCATTTTTCAGTCACGTAAACTCTTCTTGACCCCATTTGGGTTTTTTTTTTGCAAAGATACTGAAGTGGTTTGCTATTTCCTTCTGCAGCTCATTTTACAAAAGAGGAAACTAAGGTAAACAGGATTAAGTGACTTGTCCTGGGTCACACAGCTAGAATTGTCTGAGACCAGATTTGAACTCAGGTCTTTATGACACCAGGCCCAGCACTCTATCTACTGTACCACCTAGCTCCCCAGTGGCTTTAGTTCAAATTCAAAGTCTGAATTTCTGATTTTAATTAGAAATTGTAAGGGTCTTCCCCTCCCGGATTGATTGTTTTGATAAGGCAAACTAGACCATCTTTTGTCTCAATTCTAACTTAGACTTTAATCACTGAATGGCTATTGCCTCAGACCAACCTTAGCTTTAAAAAGCCAGTGTCTCCCACTGCATCCTGGGCCATCTCCAATCATCTTGAGGAGAGAGTGAGGCTCATGACTTTGCACAGTTCTTCCTCACTTAAATCCAATTCACTTGCAAATCAAAACATCACCTTCCTCAACCTTTTTTTTTTTTTTTTTTTGGCTAGGCAATGGGGTTAAGTGACTTGCCCAGGGTCACACAGCTAGTAAGTGTCAAGTGTCTGAAGCTGGACTTGAACTCAGGTTCTCCTGACTCTAGGACTGGTGCTTTATCCACTGCATCACCTAGCTGCCCCAAGACATCACTTTCCTGATGCCATTGGTCCTCTTTAAGAAAGAAGGATAAACAACAAGAAGTCATCAGAATGTGAAGAAGGAAACTAAAGTTCGTTATCCTTTTTTGGTTCCTGCCTCAAAAGGCAATAATACCCAACATTTGTGCTCAACTCTTGCCATTGGTTATTTTCAGGATGAATATAGTTTGTATTCATTTTAATGAATTACCTATTTGCCAGTTAATAATGAGATCAAAATGAAAATATTTAAGAAAGCTTTTTTGAAAAGAAAACTAATAATGTTCAGTCGTGACAAAAAAGTTCAATCCTTTTGTATTTCTGGAAAATTTCATTCTTTATGAACACTTGGGTAAATGTGTTTCAGTAAAAGTGCTTGCAATCAATCACAAATAATACTCAACTTTAATTTTTTATTGAAATACATTGTCTCGAGACCAGTGGAAAAAATAATTTATTGCCGGTTCTTTTACACATAAACATGAAACATTTATACATATATTTATGTGTTGATACAATATACTAAATATAAAGACAAACTTTTTTTACACAAAATTAATTGCACTGTACTGTTCTGTATTATTTTATAAAGATATATTCAGAAAATATTAGGGAGAGAATTAAGAATACAGGCATTTTCTTCCAAGAGGAACACACCCTCTGTAGGGATTGAGCTAATTATTCTGGACCTCAAATCCTGAATATTATCACATTCATCTACAGAAAGCAAAAGAAACTAATTTCTGAGAAGTACCAAGATCAGGCATAGCCTCTAACGCCAAGTCCCAGCAGGAAGTTTCCAACTTTGTTCTTGGATATTTCAAAAGCATCCAGACATTCAGCCCAATCCAAGATAAAAACTTAATGAAAAATTGTACAGCGCTAAACTACGGCTGTCCATAATTAACTACATTCAATCCGATAGATACAGTGGAATCTTAGAGATGCAATGTAAAGGAAACATGGAATTGCAGTTGCCACATGATGGGGATGGTGGTGTATTTGCTCATCATAGAAAACGTTTTGTTTCTTGTTTTCCCCTCTAGTCTAACAAAGGGAAACTGTATCATACTTTGATATAGCGGTTATTTTCTTAGCATAATATATTAAATCGTACTCTGGGAAATTAACGCTTTCTGAAGGCATAGATGAGAAAGGTCTGTTACACAAATAAAACAACTCTATAACTTGGTCCCTAAATCCTGCTGCCCAAAGTGCGCCAGCGCTGTGATTTTCTTCTACCAGTTAAAATCCAGACAGTGGTAGAATGGATTCTATAATGATAAACACCGGCATGACAAAGAGTGACACATAGTAGATCTTGCTGAAAAATATGTGTGCAGAGCACCAAACGGAAGTGGTCAACTTTGGTACACAGACATATTGCCAAATTCTATTCAGCAGTTCATGAGGTTTAGGACACAAAGAGATTCATTCACATCATCCACAGAGCAGGAGCTAAGAATATACCCACACTGAAAGCATGGCAATCTCTGAAGCAGAGCTGAAATATGAGCTTAGAGAGACTTGAGGCAAATAGAAGAAAAATATACATGTGTATGTGTATATATACACGTATGTATTTTATATATATACACACACAAACACACACACATATATGTATACACACACACACACACAAACACACACCTATGGGCAAGGGATGGGGTCATTGAAAGAGATGAAGCAACATATATAGCCACATAGAATCACTGCTACTGGGCTGGGTTGGTGTCAAGGGACAGAGGACCCCCATCTGCTGTCTTTCTTCTGGTCCCTCACTTCAGCTCTCATCTTGTTTTGTTTCCTTAAAGTAAAATTAAAAAGAGAAAGCCTTAGTTCATAGTGGCAAACAAATTTGTTCACACTCAGTTTAAATAGGAGCAAGCTTCTAATTTTTTTTCCTTCACATCAACAGTAAAGACTGAAGGTCATTTTGTATATATATATTTTAAATTTCATGTGTCCAAGTATGATAGTAAGAATGAGTCACATGCATAGCTCTGAAGGATTCAGGCAAGAAGATAACAAATGCATATAATGTTGTATTTAAAACTGGAAGGCTTTAAAGGTTAACTAGTTCAATCCTCTAATTTTAACAAATGAGGAAACTGAGTCCCAGAGAGGTCTTGATTTGCCTAAGGACACACAGTAAGTGGCAGAAAAATAACTGAATCTAGGTCCAGATCCTTGGGTTCTAAATCTGGTGGTCTGTCCACCATAGCATCCTGCCTCCCATAACTCTTGATCAGTTTGGCTGCTTATCAACACAACTGTTATGACTAACATCTTTGATTATCATTTAATATTTTTATGGAAAAACATGATAAGTGCCCATGATCAGGCTTTCTTAGCCTGATATATGAAATAATTTAAGCAATATAATTGTTGTTCAGTCCTTCCCGATTCTTTGTGACCCCATGGACCATAATGTCTATGGGCTTTTCTTGACAAAGATACTGGAGTGGTTTGCTATTTCCTTCTCCAGTGTATTTTTTTTTTGAGGCAATCAGGGTTAGATGACTTGCCCAGGGTCACACTGCTAATAAATGTCTGAGGCCAGATTTGAACTCAGGTCTTCCTGAGTCCAGGCCCAGAGCTCTATACATGGAACTATCTAGCTGTCACCTAAGAAAAATAATAGCTAATTTTATGTAGTGCTTTTAAGTCCTCAAAAAATTCTTTTATGCTTTCACTTAATCCTCCTAAGGGCCTATGAGATGGTTACTACAGACATTAGTATCTTCATTTTAAATGTGAGAAAACTGAGGTTTAAATATACTGAGCCACAGTCATATAGCTAGTAGGTATCCAAAGCAAGATTCAAACCCAGATCTTCCTGACTCCAAATCCAGCACTATTCACTAAGTCTACTTCTTTTCAGAAGAAAGCCAACATGCATGTTTATCCCACAGCTATACTAATAAAACAGCAAAAAAAAGTATATAGATAAATATTTTTAAGCTTGGCATCAATTCCCTCCTAGACTTAAATATTAACAGCATTTTTTTTTGGAGAGAAGGCATAAACACAAAAGAAATGTAATCAAAGAGTTTAACCTATAATCAGAAGCTAATACATCAAAGGGGGCACAGAATATCAAATATGCTGTTGAAAGCATTCTTTGGTTAGCAGGAGGCTTGGCATAGATGCCTTAGTTGGTACTGGTATACAGACAATGAAATAAGTAGCTTGGGAATATAATATGCTGGAGCCAGATCAAATTGGCTCAAAAGGATCAATTGTTAAATTTTCAGTATGAACATTGGCAAATTTTATAAATCAAGTCTTGATGTATTGTTTTGTTGACTGGATTTAATAAAGTGATAGAAAAAAGATTAATAATGTAGATTAAATTTTAAAGGGTATCCTGTATATCTATATATGTATGTATATGTTACATATTATATTTTCATGTACATTATATATATGTGCATATATATATTTCAGGGAGTTGCTTGTTAAACATTTATTAGCAAGCAACTGATAAAGCTCAGACTTATTCTGGAAACCTAGGACTCTAAGGATCATCCTTGGGACGTGAGCTATGATCAATAAGACCTGCCTTTTACCTGCTCTGGAGAATTCCTAGAGCCTGAGACAACAGGGTTATTCTAGGACTTTAAGATGGTAAGGTGTTCCAGGATCAGAGATTCTGGCTAGCTTATAGAATCTGGAGCAAAGTGGGAATCATTTCTCTTTCTAGAAGGCACTCGAAGTGAACTAGAATTCACCTCCCACTCCCAGCCCTGGACCCTGGTTTGGAAGCCACCTAGGTATAAAGAGAACTCTCATACTGTCTATGGAACAGATTAGTTTTCATGAACCCATTGTGGAGGAAAAAGGAATATCAACCTGTTAGAGGAGCGTCCCCCACATACACCACAGTCCAGAAGCAAAAGGAAAGGAGTAAGATTGAAATGGGGCAGGTATTAAAAGTGTGGGTGCTCTCATCTTTGATTTTTATTGCTAGGCAAAAGCAACTAGCCTTAGAATGTAGCCTTTAGAAAGTATCATGTGTTTTTTGGGTTTTTTTTTTTTTTTGGCTGGGCAATGGGGTTAAGTGACTTGCCCAGGGTCACATAGCTAGTAAATGTTATGTGTCTGAGGCCGGATTTGAACTCAAGTCGTCCTGAATCCAGGGCCAGTGCTCTATCCACTGTGCTACCTAGCTGCCCCAAGGAAGTATCATATAATTAGGCTATGCTTGCATATTAATTTCCTACTTGTTTTATTTAACTAGTGGTTAATATCTTTGAGAATATCTTTTCCCCAAAAAATGAAAAAAAATTTCTGATAGCTTTTATTAAACCTTATCACTATGTCATTAAAAAAAAAAAGCATTACTCTTTTCTTAGCCATACCTCATCCTCTGTACTTTTTCTGGACAGAAACCAAACTTGCATTGGCTCCTTTTTGCCCTTCATGGACACGGGTCCTCTGTGCTCCAGATGAAACTGTGGGTCTGAATTATCTGGTGTCATAAGACATCTGGAATAGAAAGAGCATAAAATGCACATACAGTTTTTCCTGAAAATATGGCATACATCTAACAGCCACAGCACACATTAAAGGTCACTGCAGAAGATCACTCAGGGCCACGGTGCTCTGGCCATCCTGAACATTGCCCTGACCATGAAGTTAGCCTTGAACAGAAATAAATATCAGAGACTCTGACAGATGCCAGGGCCCGATTAGAGGAATACTAAAATTAACAGTGAAACCTGCATTTCTTAAGTGAACTTAAAGCAGGTTTGGAGAGTGCTGGTTTTTCTTTAATTCTGGTCAACAAGCAGTTTTTCTTTACCTGTAGGTGTACTCAGACACATTGATCTTGCCCTTTTCTCCCGTGGTTTCTGTCCGGCTTGTAAGGTTAACGGTGTTCCCAAAAAGGCAGTAGCGAGGCATCCTCTGGCCTATGACCCCAGTCACTACCTCCCCAGTGTGGATTCCTATCGTTATCTGCAGAAATAAAGGCTGGTCCTTTAATCACTTTAGTAACTCAAAGACCCTAATTCCCTGGGATTCAATGTGGTGATTACATAGCATGCATGCTCATACCTAAGATTCGAAAATATCTTCATTCTGTAGTTACTGGTTAGAGCAAATCATTTCCCTGAAAACTTTCTGAAAACAGAATTCTCTAGATCAAAGGGAGTCTTTTTCTAAAACAATATACAAGAAGATTCAAAGCAAGGTAGAGTGGAGAGGAAATTTTTTATAGTGGAAACAGTACTGCATTTGGAATGAAAGAAAGTAGGTTTGAATCTCAATTCTGCTCCTTATTACACAAGGAACATCAACAGGTCACCAACCCTCTCCTCTGGGTCTCAGTTCCCTCATTTGTAAAATTTGAGAACGATGATGATCATTCTAAAGTCTCTTCCAGCTTTAAATCCTATGCTTCCATGGCAACACCACAAGAAGTAGTATTCTGTTGTTTTTTTTTTTTAACAGAAAAAGAAAGTGTTCTCTCAGTGACTTAAGTGAAACGCACACACACACACAAGTAGGCATCTAGTAAGGTCTTTCTAGATCACTCTATATTTCTTTCTGTTGTGAAGTTAAAGTAAAATTAGCCATATAATCTAAAATAGCTGAAAGTACTGAAAAAGGCATTAAAAAAAGTGGATCCCCATCCAGTTCTACTCTACTAGCCAAGTAATAGGCAGGTCACTAACCTCCTCAGGCCTCAGTCTCCTCATCTTTCAAATAAGACGGCCTCTAAGATCCCTTATAAATGTAAAATTCTATGTTTGGTGAGATTAATATCCATATTTTAAGCACTTTTTGTTGCATTTTTTTAATGTAGAGAAGAAAAAGTACAGGAGTTATATACAAGTAGGGAAGTGTTATTACCCCTTCCTTCCTTCCTTCCTTCCTTCCTTCCTTCCTTCCTTCCTTCCT